ATCAGAGCTGGAAACCCAGCAAACTTGGGGCTGAGGGTGAAGTCCAGCTGCCGCTCCATGTAGTCGATGTCTGAGTACTGCACGTCCTGCGGGAGGACACGGGGAGCTGAGTGGCTGCTGCTGTACACGCTCAAGCTTTACAGGAGAACAACCCTCCACTATACATGGTGGAATTCCAGACAGCTTCTTGTTGATGCTTTCAAATCCCAGCTCTGCTATTTCTTAGGGACAGGTGCTGGGAAATTCACTTAATTTTTTAAATGTTCAGTGATAAGATAGAAAAAAATCAAAGTCAGCATAAGATAGGATGAGAATGTGTCTCTAGCATGGCTATCCTGAGGATAAGAAAAAACACTGTTTGGAAAGTGCTTTGTAAATTGCCCATATCAGGTGTGATTGTGATGACCTCCCACAAGAGACTGCCCCTGGTATCAGTGGTTCACGTTGAGGAAAAATACTGTTAATTATCCACGGCTAATGGCAAATCTACTACAAAACAAAGTAAAGATGTATAGTTGCTTTGGAATCCCGAATCTTGAGGGTAATCATACACAACATTCTTCCTGAGACTGTCATATTGCATTTCACTATCCACTAATGGAAACACTATGTTCCACTAATGGAACAATTGTAAACAATGGAAAAGTGGGATAAAATTAAATGTGGGATGGTTCGTGGGATCATTGTCTGATGACTGGGTCCGCTCCTGTCCTCTCCTGAAGGATAAGGTTTACTTCCATATGTATGTCCTCTGCAAACTCATCCCAGGATTTGTGTAATTCATCAGTTATTAGCTCAGAGCTGATGCAGGAACTGAGATTGTATTCACATATACAATTGTCTGATCAATTTGTGGTTAGTCTTTTCAAGAATTAAGTAAAAGAACTGTGGGATATCATTTATTCTTATGGAACCAAGGACGTTTTGACAAATGTTTTGAAATCATGTGAAAGAAACAGAAGAAAGCATGAGATATCAGAAACAGCCCTGGAGCCAGCCTATCCCCCTCTCTGGGAAATCACGGTGAGTCTTGAGCTACCACCTCTAGAGGATGGAAACAAGCACCCTTATCTGTATTACTGTGCTGGGGTGAGGCTAACTGTGATATTGTCTGAAAAATAACGTTTTATCTCTATAGAATCCCACAAACATTAGACAAATGAACCCCGACACAGAGGCACCTGGGTTACTTATGAAACTCCAGAGCCATGACTGAGAACGTACATAAGGGATCTGGGCGGCCATCATCTCATCATACAAGCTGGCGATCTCAGAGTCGTTCTGGTATCCATAGCGACACAGCTGGAAACCCAAAGACCAGTAAGGTACCATCACAGGCCGGCCAATCAACTAGAAAGCAGATAGAAAATATTAGTCCTCAGAAAAGAGACACCAGATTAAAGTTTTACATCAAGTAATAAGAATATTTTTCGATGCCCAATCTAGACAACTGAAAGCTTTCTGCTAGTCTTAAGCTCCTTCCTAAACATTATGGAAAATCTGATGTTACTCTGTTCCTAGAGACACTGTAGGTAACTCATTAAGAAGCCCAGAATCAGAGACAAATGCCTGGCTTAGCACACAGGCTCCAGTCTTTCTAGCTGTGTGACCTTAGGCAAAAATTAAATAAACTCTTAGTGCTTCAGTTTCTTCATCTGTAAATAAAGGATAATAATAGCATCTGCTTCACAGCATTCCTGTGAGGCATGAATGAGTTAATACGGGTGAAGTGCTCTAACATGCAGCAAGTGATAAATCAGTGATGTGCACTTGGTAGTATACAAGCGTCTGTTGTTGCTGCCACAACCACCATGGTCATGGCCACCATCACCATCATCACCGCCAACATCATCACTATTTTCACCATCACCACCAGTAGCATGATTATGCCCCCACCACTATCATTACCGTTATCACTACCCTTCACTACCATCACAACCAACCTACTACCACCCCCACCACCATCCCCAACATCACCACTATCATCACAACCACTATCACCAACATCACACTCCTCACACCACCCCACTGTCACCACCACCACCATAACCACCACCATCATCACCATCACTACCACAAACACTATCCTCACCCCCACCCTTGTCACTATCACCACCATCATCACCAATACACCCATCACCACCACTACCACCACTATCATCACCATCATCATCACTACCACTACTACCACCATCATTATCACCATTCCCACATCACTATCCCCATCATCAGCCCCTACTGCCATCATCACCATCACCAACACCATAACCACAAACACCACCAACAACCACACTATCACTACCATCACCACCACTAGTACCACTATAACATCTGCTCTTCTGCAATGCTTACAGAGGCTATACATTTAATGATAATCAGAATGTATTTATTTTTTTTATTCTATAATCTCTCTCCAAGAAAGACCAATAATTCCAGTTATCATCTGAGAGTTACACTAATCAATGTGGGCTCTGGCACCCAGAATGTGCTGTATAAGTGCTTGATAAACAGCTGGATTTCTTCCTACCTCAGTGTACTGCTGGGTGACAAGCTCTGGAGTTGGCCCCAAGAACACATAAAAGTCCAGAACTCCCCCTGTGGTACGGTATGTCAAGGCAGGCAGGGGCTGGAACGTCACGTCTGAAAATGAAGAAAAATGCCAACCCAGATGGAAACCTTCCACATCACGAGGGAAACCTTCCACATCACCCCTGAAATCCACACATTCTCCATCTTCCTGCACCCTCCCTATCACAGAGTGGTAAGAGCAGGCATTTTCTATCACACTCACACAGAACTGAAGAAGATCAGTGGAAGTCTACAGGTCCTATTCCTGGGTTTGATTCTCTTTGGGGTACTTTACTATATTTTGTCACTCTTCTCTTATAGAATTTATTTTTTACATTTCAACTTTTGTTTTGGATAAAGAGATACACATTCACATTTGTTACATGTGAATATTGCATGATGCTGAGGTTTGGGGTAGGAATCCTGTTACCCAGATAGCAAATACAGTACCTGGTAGGTAATTTTTCAATGTACCACAAACCCTCATATACCCAGACTAACTTCTCTGACCCACAGTTTTACCCTAATTCAAATTATATAACTGGCTCCCATGAGCCGAACTCCAGGATATTTGGGACCCATGTGGTGTTACTATCCTTTCTTATGTGATTTTTACCAAAATAAGAGTTGGGTTAAATCCTCTTATCACATGATCCTATACTGAAATAAACAGAAAGGCTAAACATAAAGAAAAAATAAACACTAATGCCCGTAAAATGAAAATTTTGACTTCAAGGAAGAGTTAGGCTAAACACATTCTAAACTGACTCAAGCATGATTGGTAGCCCCCAAAATAAGGGAGGTGCTGGACGGCCTTACCCATGGCATTGCTGTTCAGCAGGAACACTCCGTGGGCACTGCCATCCTCCTCCAGCCCCATGTAGTAGGGGTGGACACCATAGGAATTCTTCTTGTACTAGAAAGTCATGGGGAGAAGCAGTAGGAGTTTAAAAGACATCATGCCTGAGAAAGAAACTCAACAAAAATGTGTTTGCTAAGATGGGTCTACTTTTCTCCATGAAATCAATTAAACACATGAAACAAAGGAGCCTGAGAATTGGCCTACTCGTCTAAAACCAGAATGAGGGGACCAAGTGGAGTTTGGGAAGATGAAGCCCGAAGCCTGAGCAGTGTGGGTGGAGAGAAGCGGAGACACAGACCCCAAATGCTCTGTCCTTACCCCTGGGGGCTGGTCTCGGGAGAACATCCCCCAAGTGTGCCACTCCAAGTCTCTCCTATAGGATGTGTGCTCAGTTTCCCCAAAGCCATAGAGGTACTTGGAGGCAAGGCGGGTGGAGATGCGAATAAACATGTCATTGAAGGTGAAACCAAGGAGCTGAGAGTCCCAACTGAAACACAAAAAGGCAGACTTAAAACAGAAAATGGGCTTTTCTCTCTGCTTCCAGCAGCTGACTTTTCAAGGACAACAAATGCGTGATTTTTATCCAGAACCTGTTCATCTCCAAAACGAAACAGATACTCAGTTTGATTAAAATATCATAGAAATCCTCACTAAAAGCCCAGGAGTTATTCTTCATTCATCTGTTTCCCACTGTCACTGCTTCCTTTCAGTGGTCCTCCACAGAACACACCCAAGCACTCCTCACCATCACAGCTGGGTACACCCCACACCAGCACCACCTTCCACCCTTGCACCCCTCAGTGCATTTTCTACATAGCACTCAAAGTGATGTTTACTTATTATTGGTTGTCATGAGAAGACAACCCTCAGCTGTCTACAAGGAGCAGCACCTCCTCTAGACAAGACACCCCATAAACATTTGTTGGATGAATCCTCAGGCACACTCGACTGCCTCAGTAATTATTTCCAGAATGCTAAAGATTTCCCATAAGAACAGGTCAGAAGGAAACAACTCATCCATGGATCTGGAAGTGGACAATGTGATGCTTGGAACCAGGATACATTCAAGGACAATGGACCTGGCAGCGAAGGCACAGGTAGACATCAACTCTGAGTCACACTAGAAGCCACTCACATTATAGTGCCTGTACTCCTGCGGCGAATTTCAATCCCAAATGGATTCTTCTTAATGAGGACATCATAGAGTTGACCCTCAGGGGTGCTGGATGGCACTGTGGGTACGTTCAGAGGAACTGGAACTTCATACCGATTGTTGTTGGGATCATAAATCTAGGCCAGAGGAAATCGATTTTAGGCAAGAATAGTACTCTTGAAACCTATACCCTTAGCAGAACCTTTTTTATTTTTGGACAAAAAGTTCAGATGCTATGTTTCTGTCTTCTTTAAGTTTATGATATCTGAGATTTAATTAATATATCAAGTAACAATGTCAGATTAAACATTTTTCTGTCATTTGTCCTTATTAAGGCCTCTATTACATTAATATACTCTATGGGACATTGGTGCTAACATGGAAAATTATTCTCGAATCAGTGTGGTATTTATGAATATGTTACTAGTTATTTTCTGGGGTATATGAGTATATACAAATACCTGAAAATTTTTCTTAATTGAAAAAAAAAAACCTGTCTCCCCAAAATGAAATCTATTTGATTAAAATAATCAGAACATTCTTGCTGAAGGTGGTATCTAAACCGACTCATGAGTACCTACTACATCACTGCCTGACACTGCACAAGACAGTAGGGATGTGAGCTGAATAAGGAAGTGCTACGGTTTTACAAAATTCACAAGCAGATGAGAAGTAAAATAGAGCAGCTCACAACACCTGGGTGATGTGTGCTAAGGGAGAGCTATGTAGAAGTGCTGTGAGATTCTAGGGAAGGAAATGCCTAACATTGTTTCTGGGAGACTGAGATGGTGTCATGGGAGAAATACAGGATGAGTCTTAAAAGCTTGGTAGGCATTAACCAAACAAAGAAAGGAGATCAAGTCATACTGGTGAAGAATAACAACCACAGAGAAATGTGGGCCAGAAACAGGCAAATATTTTGGAAACAGCTACTCTGTGTTCAAGAGGTAAAGTAGGCAATGGTTAAGGCTAGAACTCCAAGGAAGTTCATTCATTTAAAACCCACTAGGTGCCTACAACATGCTAGTGCTATGATGAGGATACAGACATACAAGAGCATCTTCCCTGCATTAGAGGATGTACAAGAACTCAGAATTCGGGTTGATGACAGATTGTAAAGAATCTTTCAGGCAATGCAACAATGTCTTGATCACTTTCACTTACTGTGTCAATAACATCACACCGCTAACTATCTTCCAGGCTCTGTATTCGATTTCAGAAGCACAAAGAAGAAAAGGCACATTCCTGTCCTTGAGAAGCTTAGTTTAATAGAGAAATAGACATAACAGCTGGCCCATTCCTAGTCCTTAAATGTAATTAAATCTTGGAAAGGAATGAAATTACCGCATACTGATGGCTATATACAGAAATCTCAAATTCAGTATCCCAAAATGAACATATCATCTGACATTGATCAAGCACAAACCTTTTCAGTATTCCTATTCCAGTTAATGTCAGCACCATCCATATTAAGAGGTAAGATACCAACACGGTCATCATTCTTGATTTTCCCTCTCCATTGTCACCTGCTTGCAATCAACCACCAGATCCTGTAACCCAACTTTCTCAACCTCAGACAGATCCACTCTTCTCCACCTGCATTCCAGTGTCTAGTCCAAACCTAATCCCTCAACTGACTCGCCTAACTAGTAGCCTCCTGACTTGTCTGTCTGCGTACACTCTTGCTCTCCCAACCATTTTTCTAACAGCAGCCACAGTAATCTTTTCCAAATGAAAATCAGGGCAGGTCTCATTGTTCCCTCAATGATTTCTCAATGCTCTCTGGATAATGATCTAGTCTATGGTAGCATGATTAACTTATTTTAGGGTTCTGTGACCCAGACCAACAAAAGGTAATGGAACTGAAAAGGGTCAAGTCACCACCTGATACATGTAATGTGTTTACCTTGAACTGCAGCATTTCATTCTTATGGTAAGTGACATCCAGGCGAAGGGGGTTCACGGGTGTGGAGGGGAAGGCATTGGCATACAC